CTTCCGATCTCATTTGCGCGGCTTTTGTATGTGAAGGAATCGGATTTTCTGTATTGGCATGCAGAATTTTTCTAGTCTTGAAGAGATTATAGGGTTGGAGAATCTGAAGTACAACATTGAATTTATGGTACAGAATAATTTGATATTACAGTTGGTCAAAGAACAACAATATTTACTTGCAAAAACTAAGTACTAAAGCTCATAAATGTGCATTTAAATTCATGAGAACATTAGTTTCTTATGATGTTGAGGTAATGGATTGTAGGGGTCCCCTAGTTAGACCCAATGGAGGCTTTAAATCTCAGCAGTCATAGGTGGGACAATTCCTGAGAAGGGTCGGTCGAGTTGTTCTGAACTTTTTTGCCGATTTCTTGGGCTCTGTATGCAGTATTAAGAACTGATTATCAACTATTGTTTCTGTGGTATGCTCATGACTGAGCTAAATTGTCTGAAAATAACCATGATTTAACTTAATGTTCATATGAAATCAGACTAGATCTCATGTGGTTATGTTAAGGAGGGGTCAGACAATATCTATTACGGCTTTGATGCGCATTAATGGTCCTTATGGATTGATAATGAGCATTGGTTGCTTCAAGTACACTTCCTTGCTCTGATGCTTTGAAATCCGTTCTCGATGGATCATGCAGGTCACGGGAGAAGCGTGGCGGTGACATGTGCGTTACTAGTTGCGTTAGAAGTAGTGGATGACTGGAAGATGGCCGAGAGATATATCAAGCAGAAGAGGCCGTACATTCGTATGAATGCTCTTCATCGTAAAGCACTGGAAGAGTGGTCGCAGAATCGGGTGGGTTACCCGAAGAGCAGGGCCGGGATCCATGTTAACGAAAAGAGAACCGATTGATCCATCTTCTCGGTTACCAGTCTTTTCGGGTATTGATCGAAACGCTGTTTTAACATTCACTCAGAAGTTCGAACTTTCTCAGTGCGATGTATTGTTTGGTCTTTTTAGGTCTTTGCAGTTCAGAACTTTCAGACACAGCTGAAATGTTGCCAGTTGTGTGAGTGAAAGGCAGCAAACGCTGTCACTCTTTTCTCAAGAGTTATCTCATACAAAGGGAAAATGATGACGTGTTTTTACATAATTTTATTTGAATTTCTAAATTAAACTATAATTTTACAGTTTTTTAATTGATTTAAATATTTCTTCGGATGTATGTTTCTTTGCATGAAACTTTCTGAGTGATAAACTTAAAATATGATTTAAAAAACTTATATAAATGTTTTAGAGAAGTGGAAACTCAAGACAAATATATTACTGTTTAAAATAGCTGACACATTTGTATTTTAGATCAAATAGACCACATTTATTTTTGTAATTTTCAATGTACTAGGTACAAAAATATTCAACATACAAATTTGAGAAATATTTAGACATTTATATCAAATTTAAAGTCGAACAGGAAGCTCAATACAAAACATACGATCTATTTCGATTCTCAATGCGAATAAAAGTAATTTGTTTACATACTTATTACTTACAACAGTTGAACAATACCAAGATTTTTATTTGGACACTCCCTATAAACAAAATTAAATCATGGAAAAAAATTGCAAGAAACAGAGAGAGAACTAGAGCTGAAAAGAGTCGAGAATGGCTTGGAGGGTTTTCTGAGAGGACGGCCATTGCTTGTCATTGGCGCTGGCAACGAACAGCACCACCGTACTTCCCTTGGCCGTCGCTTTCGCAAGGTTGTGCGTTCCTGTCAATGCGTACGGTGTCTCTAGAACGTACTTGTAGTACTACAACCCCACATCCATACACATTCCAAACATTAAGTTTTGCATAGACATCTTTCATGGGTTTAATTGGTAAATTCAGAAAGTTTGAGATCAAAGTAAGCAGTTGAAGAACAGAGACGCACCGTCTGATCTCCGAGTTTCTCTATAGAAGTCTCCAAAAGTTCATCCGGGTCGTAGGAGTTTCCGGTGACGAAAGGGCCGAGAGAAGCAATCAACTTCTCGGGGCTACCGATCTCTTCTATAGTTGCATTCGGTTTGTTGGTGAGGCGAATGAGCGGAGAAGCCACTACTTGGACCTTTCCCTGCTTCTCATCTTCAAACTTGACTTCGACCCATGGCTCTGCACACTTTGGTTGGCAGTAATTCCCCGATAAGATGTTTGCTATTCGCGTCTGTTTCCAGGTCCGTGGAATAATAAACTGGTATGGCTGCACGTTTCCTGCCAGAAGACTAGATTTCAAGCATCATTAAGCCAACACACATTATGCAGCTGATGGGAACTGAAGAAGCGGTTCTTGATCATATCCAAAGCAAACGCTCTCAGAGTGAATTCTATTTGCCAAAAATGAACAAAAAAATCTGCCTATAATTGAGGTTAGGCATGTAAAACACTACACCACAAGCACGAGCTCATGGTTTTGCTAAGCTTCTTCTGCAAGGAAGATTGTTCTCATGGTAAATTGAACAAACAAGACTCTTCCACTGTTCCTTCTCATACACACTTTTCTTTCCAATTTCGTGTCCTACGTATGCTACAGAATCTCAGATTTGGTGAGTTCACAGAGATATGTACAGATTTGCGAGACACCTAGCAATCACCAGAAGTGAAATTCACGAGTTTAAATCCCTAATCATTCCCATAAACACGAATCCGAAGCACTAGTTCAGACCCTAAACGAATCACGGGACCTAGTTTCAGGCATTACCCGCACGGAGAGCTGGTGTGTCGGAGGGCGAGGCTTTGAAGAAAACGAAGGAAGGATCCGACGGAGACGGAGGAAGATACGAGCCGACCTCAACCTCACGCGCCTCCGCAATCCTCGGTGGCTGGATAACCGCAGCCGCCGTCGCAGACAGTTCATCGTCAATTTAAAAAAAAAAAGAGAGAGAGAGAGGATGTAACAGAGTTGGATAATGTTTGTAGGATCGATCAATAGCGGAGTAGAGAGAGAGACTCTAGTTGATTCCGCGAGGTTCGGAGGAGGTGGAGGAATGGTTCCTGTATATACAGCGGCGGGTGCAAAGAAGAAGAAACACCACAGGAAGAGTGGCCATCGCAAAGGAGGCAGCTCCAAATGCAAGGCTATGGACTCGCCTCTCGCTCTCCTCTTCCTTCTCAACGCCTTCATCTTGTGATCCGTACAATTGTGTTTTTGTGTGTGTATATATATATATATGTTCGGTGTCTAGGTACTGTCGTTGAACGATGCGGAAATTTGATATATGTCATGTGGATGCATGTGTGGACCTCTCACCTCGTGGGTTTGTGGCTTTGTATCTCTCTATCGATTTGTTTTATGGCAAGATGGATTGCAACAATTGAAGAGTTCTAGCGGTGGATACAGATTGAATATCTATTTTTTTCGAGAATCTGACGCTCTATCGGATATTTTTTGTGACATTATCTGAGCTGCTGCCGTCACAGCGGCTTTCAACAGCAACTCTCTTCTCGGAGTCGATCCATCGCATTGATTTTGAGACGATGCAACGACCACGGAGATTCTTGTTCTTGTTGACGATGCGTATGCTGGACAGAAGATTCCAGAAACGGGAATTAGAGAAGCGACCGCCATTTTTACCCGATCACTCTCTCTCCCTCTTTCGTCTGCGTATTTTCGTCTGGATAAGGAAAGGAACCACGGGAAATGGTTTTGAGCCACAAGGTCATATATACATATATATGGGTCAATTACACAAATATACTTTGCAAAAAAAAAATGAGAAGAAAAAGTCTTTTAATTCCTAATTCAAAATATTTTTATTCTCAGAACCAATAGGTATGTGTTCGCTTTTCATGTTCAGTTAATTGAAAAAAAATCATTTTCAAACAAATTTTCAATTTTCAATTATTTTTTATTACGTTCGATTTTACAACACACACACATATATATATATATATATATGAAAATTTTAAAGTTCTTAAAGGATATTTTTCTAAAAAAATGTATTTTGAAAAAATTATATCTCATTCAGTTATTTTAGTTGTTTTCATATTTTAATCACACTTCCATTTGCATTTGAATTTCGGTTCAAAGAATAATGCATATTCGACCTTTTACGTCGGATTGGGTTCGTAAATTATTGTTTGATATTTTGGTCCAACCAAAGTGGTCTTCCGAGTAATCCAACCTGGGTAAATCAAGCGGTGAAATGCAAATTTTCGTCCCGAAACTTCAAGTTGGGAAGGAAGCATAATTACAATCGTATGGTTTACTCATGTCTTCTGATCTCGAAATTAGTTTGGATGTAAATGCATGACACCTGGTTATCCTAAAAGAAGTGTTATTCCTAATCATTTGATGATAACAAACTTTTTATTTTAAAACAAGAAATTAGATACTAATCTTTTTTTGATGATTTAGGAATTCACCGGCATTGTTTTTAGTGTGCATAACGGGTAGATCCTGGTTATATAAATCAATTTAAATTGTCTATAATTGACAGATTCATAAGTGAGGAGGGTAAGAGGATTCGAATTTCCGACCTTGAGATTAAAAATGGTCGAGTACCTACCCAACCAACTCACCAAAAGTTTCCCGCGATACTGATCCTAGTACTGCCGTGAAATGAATCTATGGGATCGTATATGTAAATGAAGTGGTGCCTTGAAAAAGCTAATGGCAAAAGCATCACTTTCTTTCGTGTGGGTCGATGAAAACACCGACAAACCAACAAAAGATTGCAACTTTCTTTCTCACTTTTAACCAATAAAGAAAACCCATCACTTTTTCTTTAACACATAGACCAATGAGAATGATTTTTATAAAACCCATCTGATTCTGAAGTTTTAAGGTTTTCTGAAAATAGAAAATGGCGAGAAAACAGAAATTGAAGCTCCTCTTTGTGTTCCTTCTCCTCTTCTGCTACAATCTTCGTGTCCTTTTTGTTGTTGCTTTGGTACAACAAAGCTCCAAGCCATCTGGTACCCCTTCTTCTTTTTCCTTTTTCTTTGTTTTACCGTTTCCCCGCCTAAAATTCATCTTCATACATTCTCAACAATGAACAATATATATATATATATAGTTAGTATGGGCAAATTATGAGTATTTTCAGTGCATTGATTCCAAGAATTACAAAGAACTATACCTAGATATAAGCGTTTATACAAAAATCTGGCATGTCAACAAGCAAATTGCCTTAATTTCTTGGCTTGATTGAGTCGGTGACTCTAGGCCTTCTTCTTCGACTTGAAATGTTATCTGTATGCGGGCTATCTCTAGATTTTGAAGGAGATCTTTTGGTCGTATCGTAGAATTAATATACGACTTCAAAACACTAATTATAATTACTATAGTTTTCGACAATAATAGCATACTACCCTTATATATATATTTGGTCCGAACCCGAGTAATTGGTATCCTAGAGACATTGTTCGGATAGTGTTTCGTTAGGTAATACCTCTTGACCACGGGCTCAATATTAGTAATATAGTATATATAACCCCGACAGACAGTTCATCGTCAATTTAAAAAAAAAAAGAGAGAGAGAGAGGATGTAACAGAGTTGGATAATGTTTGTAGGATCGATCAATAGCGGAGTAGAGAGAGAGACTCTAGTTGATTCCGCGAGGTTCGGAGGAGGTGGAGGAATGGTTCCTGTATATACAGCGGCGGGTGCAAAGAAGAAGAAACACCACAGGAAGAGTGGCCATCGCAAAGGAGGCAGCTCCAAATGCAAGGCTATGGACTCGCCTCTCGCTCTCCTCTTCCTTCTCAACGCCTTCATCTTGTGATCCGTACAATTGTGTTTTTGTGTGTGTATATATATATATATGTTCGGTGTCTAGGTACTGTCGTTGAACGATGCGGAAATTTGATATATGTCATGTGGATGCATGTGTGGACCTCTCACCTCGTGGGTTTGTGGCTTTGTATCTCTCTATCGATTTGTTTTATGGCAAGATGGATTGCAACAATTGAAGAGTTCTAGCGGTGGATACAGATTGAATATCTATTTTTTTCGAGAATCTGACGCTCTATCGGATATTTTTTGTGACATTATCTGATTTTGGCTTCGTGAGATTGAATACTCGAATTTGGATTAGCCGTAGATACGATGAAAGTTTGGATACTTGATAGGTCTCCTATCATTATGTAATAGCGTATCCAGAAAAATTTATAATCGGGAGCAAATTTAATTTACTATGGAATGAACTTAATTACATTCGAGCATTTTATTTAAAAATTTACAAATTTTATAAAAGAAATTGAATTTTTTTAATTAAATAAATGATTTAGAGATCGCATCTAATCCGAGACGAAAAGACAAGGAATGTGAGGGCTAGTGGAGAGGGCAATCGAAATCCTCAGTCGTCGTCTCTATCTCCCTTAGACATGTACTCGGCTTGCTTCGGACGAACGTCCGAGATTTCAAAATATCCGATTCTATTGGACGAGTATTCTCTCGCTCATCTTGTATCTTTGGACACTAAATCTTATTGAGAGCTATGACATGTCATGTCCCGCTATTGTTGTTTTAGGCAAATGAGTTAGTGAATTTTAGGCAATATAATCCCATTTAAAAAATCAAATGAAATACTTATCATTTCACCTAATCTATTATACGGGTGAATATTTCGATACAATTTCTCAAAATCGAATCGAAAAAATGCAATATCATTTATGAACTAAATCGTTCAAAATTTTTGAACGACAATTTTGTTTTATAAAATTCGAATTTTTTAGAATCGCACCAATTTTTTTGTCAAGTTCTTGAACTTTGGAAATCAGGAAACTACGTAGAATTTTACCATTTCGGGATCATTTGTTACAAAAAAAGTTTTTTTTAAATCTCGTGGTTACGTTTTTTTAAAAAAACAATAACTCTCCCATATCCAAAACGGTTTTTTATTACTCAAGGATAGTTTTGGGATTTATAAGAAAAATATAGCTGGCAAAGTTCGGCAAATTATATTTTTTTTTATAGTTTGCAAAGAACTATTCGAATTATGCCAAATTTATCGACGGGAATTTGCGGCGCCTCTCCGCACTGAATCTTTCCTCCATACCCATCGGGAAGAGACCGAAACCCTAATTCGGTCGTGTTTTATTATGTTTGACGGAATTTTTTTTGTCGTATTTGCTTTTTTTTTTGTCTCTGTGAATGAAACCTATCGTGGGTTGTCTTTTTTGTTTTTTCTTTTTGGTTTAATTTTTCTTCTCTCAACATTTCTCAAAAAAAAACTTGTTTCTGTCTCTCCCTCGCTCCGCCCAGAAACCTCTTTTTTGTTTTTTTCCGGCAATTACTCAGAAATTTGTATAGTAAATAGTTTCAGTCTTTGGACCATTCGAATCATTTTCTCCTCCTCTGTCGTTTTTCGCTTCATTCGATTTTTAAAGTTTACTGCTTTCCTTTTCTTTTTCTGGGTTTCGGAGATCCACTTTTCTTCCGATTTCACAGAGGTGAGTCTCTTCCTTCTTCTTCCCCTCGTTCTTCTCTGTGGGTTAACTTTGTGGTTGTTGCTTTCTTGGTGTGTTTGTTCATGTGATTTCGTTGAAAATTGAATTGCAAAGAGTGAGCGAGTTTCATGCATAGTCTGCTTTACACGGTTTCAGCATACGGATTTCAGATCGTGGATCGCAATTCTGTTTTTTTTTTTTTCAATTTGGAATTCGAGAGTCGAAGATTCCCCGTGTGCTCTTGCATGCGAGAAAGTTCGACGAATTTGCACTCGAATTCATCCTTCCTCGCCGAGTTTTGTCGCATATGGGTGTCTCATCACCTGTAAATTCTTCAGGGCATGGGACAGATTTTTGTAATTCTGTGTTTGAACACTGGCGTTATGAATTCATCAAATTATCAAATTTGTGGGTATTGAGAAAGTTCCCGTCTTTCTTACTTTTATCGTACAGAGAATTTGTGGTGAATTGTTGCTATTCTACTTAGATGTATCTCTTTCTGCTCGTATGCATTATGCTTCGAGTTCCACGAGATTCTGATGACGGAAGTCTCGTCCGTTTGTGTGGAAGCCATGCAGTAATTTGTCGGAACCCATACTGAGTTCTACAAGGTGGAAGCTTGAGAAGAAAAATGGCATAAAAACGTTTCTCTGTTGAATTGATCTGTGATTTTTGCAGAAAATAGGATCTAATTCGACGAGGCGTACCTTAAACTCGGGTGATTTCGTTTGTATGGTGGATCTAACGATGGGTTCTCACGTTGGAGTTCGCTGTAGTGTTAAGAATGATGGGTTCGAGCCATTGGCTCCGCCGAGCTCGATGTACAATCTCACTCTCCACGAGGTTCAGAGCCAGTTAGGTGACACGGGCAAGCCTCTAAGCAGCATGAACCTCGACGAGCTTCTGCAGAACGTTTTGTCAGCTGAAGCTGCCAACCAGTCCGTCGGAACTGAGCCTGAGGACGTGCCTCCGGGCAATCAAAACGGCTCCACGCAATGCCGGGCTAGTCTCTCGTCGTTGACCGGTACTCTAAGCAAGAAGACGGTGGATGAAGTATGGAGAGACATACAGGAGCAAAGCAAAGGCAGGGGAGGAGACAGGATTAAGGAGAGGCAGCCCACTCTGGGAGAAATCACTTTGGAGGATTTCCTGGTAAAAGCCGGAGTTGTGTCTGAATCGAATGTGGGAAAAGAGAACTGCGGGCATTTTCCCGGGGTTGATCCGAATATCGATCCACAGTTCCTCATGGAGCAGCATCAGTGGATGCAGCCAATGGCGCAGCCTCTGCAAGCGAGGACACGTCTCGAGAATCAGGCTGTGTTACCTCCTCCTCCCCTGATGGGGACGTTGTCAGAGACGCAGGTTCCGGGGAGAAAGAGGGGTGCGACCGAGGAGTTTATCGGGAAAACCGTCGAGAGGAGGCAGAAGAGGATGATAAAGAATCGGGAATCGGCTGCACGTTCAAGGGCAAGAAAGCAGGTAAAGTCTGTAACTTTGAAAGTGTTTACATGTCATAACAGTCCCGGTTTTTGTTTTCGTTGCACGATTTTTTTGGAATGGAATACTATGAGCAGGCTTATACAAACGAACTGGAGAACAAAGTCTCGAGACTGGAGGAGGAAAATGAAAAGTTGAGGAAGCAGAAGGTGAGTTCCTCTACCATTTTTTGATGTTTTCAGACGCCATTGTTAGGGTTTTAAGCTCTGCATGTTGCATCTGTATAATGGGTTGGTAATCGAAACCCTGAAAAGAGGCACAACACCCTCAAAAGCACCATCCTTTCCGGTTTCCCTCTGATCTCTTCCCTGAATCTGCAACATATAGAAAAGAAATCTGGCTGGTAGATTAAAAATCTGTGGAATTCATCAGGAGCTGGAGAAGATTCTGCCGGTAACTCCGGTGGCAGAGACAAAGTATCAGCTGCGTAGAACATCATCGGCCCCTGTCTAGGAATCTCTTTCTCAGGAGGGATGGCCCATTTGTAAGATCATCAATCAACCCCTCCTTTCATGAATGCATATATAAAGTTCGGATCCTCTGTTTTTAGTTTATTTTGTATGTAAAAAAAAAAAGTTTAGAATGTGGAAAACGTGTTTCAGTTTACTGTTTTTTTTTTCTGTATATAAAAGAAACTAGTTTTAGTCTTAAACTGCCTGTTTTTTAATCTTCTGTCTGTATAAAGCCATGCTTTTTAGTTTTGAGTTCTGCAAATATTTTTACATATTTGGAGCGGCATAATATCAAAACTACACTTACTTTACATTTTTTTTGCTACATATATTTCAGAACATATTTTTTTTAATCTAATTTGCTACATGTTTTTTAGAACATACCTTTTCTAATCTAATTTTTTGTGATTAGTGTGGTGAATCAATGATGGTCACACTGATTATATAATTTTAACGGTGTAATTAGTGTAACTCTAAAATAAATTACAATAGTCACACTGGTCCGGTCCACAAAAAAATGAGTTAGAAGGGTGTGTTCTAACATACATGTACTAAAGTAAATGTGTATTTTTTGTAATGGCCCATTTGGAATCTTAGCTCTTCCTTCCTACCTTATTCATAAAACAAATAAAACAATCAAAGAACCAAATTAATATTAAAATTCGAAAAAAAGTCCCGTAATAATTTATTTCTTACATAATCCAAACATGCACTTACCATCAATTTTCATAACTTTTCCCCCATTATATACAACAATTATTTCAAACTTCTATATGAATTTTTATAAATAATACTGCTGAAATATATCGACAGCTTTCAAAATATATATCGACTATTGTTCTATATTGTTATTTTCGAAATACAAATATTTTTATTTTCGTTTAAAGGTGTTATTGTTTGGATAGAGATCTAATAATATTTTAAAAATTTGTACAATTGTATAAATTTTTAATGGTTAATGTATTAGCTAAATAAAAAATTCATGTGTTATTACATTTTTTGAAAATATATAAATTCGTATATTTCTTTTCATATTTTTTTTTATAAATGTGTATTTTATACTGTTTATTTCATGGAAAATCGGATTTGTGGAAAGGGTGACCATATACGTACATTTTTTCATGAGTATGAGACAGTGAGGAGAGGTTAGTAGTCAGATGCGCGTAATCGGCTGTGTCGCACGCTTCCATGCTCCGTCCTCACATCATCCCCTCTCCGTAATCCGCCGTATTCACCAGTCGCCACGTTCTTCCTCTCGCTGCCACGGCCTCCACGTCTCTCTCTCTCTCTCTCTCTCTCTCTCTCTCTCT